GCGGCGAGGGGGCCGCGGTCGGGCCCGCCGGGACGTCCTCGCTGCCCGAAGGAGGGATAACCATCCGACGATTGAAGTGTAGGAAGTCACCCGGAATTAGAATCGCACCTGATGGTCCGAAGAGTCACAGACCGATTGGTATCGAAGACGCCTACGACGAATCACCGCCGCCCCCTGCCTTTGTGGAAGCGCCTATGTGGCCGAACGTTGAGGCCAGACCTGCCAAACTATCGGACCATGTGTTCCCCGAATCGGTTTGGAAAGCCTTCGGGGAACACGTGGGCATCTTGAAGGTCATCTTGGCCGTCTGGAGGCCATTTTGACAATTTCGGGCCTTCTTGGAGGACGTCTTGGAGGGCTCTTGGGCCGTCTTGGAGGCCATCTTGAGCGTCTTGAAGGCCTCTTGGGCCGTCTTGGGGGCCTCTGGGGGCCGTTTTGGGCCTCTTGGGCGATCTTTGGGGGCACTTGGGCCGCCTCGGGCCGTCGGAAGGCCGAAAAAGAGCAACTGCCACAATCCTTCAAAAACTCATGGGAAATCAATGATTTTGGCCTTTTCGGGCATTCCTGGAGGCCCTCTTGGAGGCCTCTTGGGCCATCTTAGTGCCATCTTCGGCCGTCTTGGTGGGCTCCTGGCCCGTCTGACGCCGTCGGAAGCCGTTTGGGGGGCCTCTTTGGGCCGACTTGGGGCCCTCTTGGAATGCTCCAGGGCCGTCTTGGAGGCCATCTTGCGCGTCTTAAAGGCCTGCTGGGCTGTCATGGGGGCCTCTAGGGCCGTTCTGGGGCCATCTTGGATGCCTCTTGGGCGATCCTTGGCCGGTTCGGGCCGGTTCGGGCCGTCGGGGCGGTTCGGGCCGTCGGAAGGCCGAAAAGAAGCAAATGCCAAAATCCTTCGAAAACTCAGGGAAAATCAGTGTGTTTGGCCTTTGCTGGCCTTCCTGGAGGCCCTCTTGGAGCCCTCTAGGGCCGTCTTGGGCCAGCTGAGAGCCACCTTCGGCCATCTTGGTGGGCTCCTGGCCCGTCTGACGTCGTCGGAAGCCGTTTGGGGGCCTTTCTGGACCGACTTGGGGCCCTCTTGGGGCGCTCCAGGGCCGTCTTAGAGGCCATCTTTGGCGTCTTGGAGGCGTCTTGGGTCGTCTTTGTGCTCTCTTGGGGCCGTCCTGGGGGCCTCTTGGGCAGTCCTGAGGCCATCTTGGAGGCCTCTTGGGCGCTGTGGGGGCGATCTTTGGGGCCTCGTGGGCGGTCTTGGGTCGTCGGAAAGCCGAGAAGAAGCGAATGCGAAAATCCTTCAAACACCAAAGGAAAAGCAATGATTTTGGCCTCTTCGGGCCCTCCTGGAGGACCCCTTGGAGGCCTCTTGGGCAGTCTTGGAGGCCTCTGGGGGGCCTCTTGGGCCGTCTTCGACCGTCTTGGACTCCCTTGGGCCGTATGGGAGGCCGTCTTGGACCATCTCGGGCGGACTTGGAGTCCATCTTGGAGGCCATCTTGGGCCAACGTGGCCATCTTGGAGACCATCTTGGGCCATCTTGGGCCATCTTGAGCAAACATTCCGAACATTCCGAGCCTTCCGGGTGGCCGGCGGGACGGACCGACACCCCAGGGGGAGTCCTTTTGGAAAAAGAACCGACACCAAAACCGAAAGGATCCAGCACGCCAGGCACCCCTGCGATGAATCGACAGGGTGTGGCGGATCGAAGACGCCTACGGCGAATCACCGCCCCCCCTGCCTTTTTGGAAGCGCCTAGGTGGCCGAACGTTGAGGCCAGACCTGCCAAGCTATCGGACCATGTGTTCCCCGAATCGGTTTGGAAAGCCTTCGGGGAACACGTGGGCATCTTGAAGGTCATCTTGGCCGCCTGGAGGCCATTTTGACCCTTTCGGGCCTTCTTGGAGGACGTCTTGGAGGGCTCTTGGGCCGTCTTGGAGGCCTCTTGGGCCGTCTTGGAGGCCTCTCTGGGCCGTCTTGGGCCTCTTGGGCGATCTTTGAGGGCACTTGGGCCGTCTCGGGCCGTCGGACGGCCGAACAAGAGCAAATGCCACAATCCTTCAAAAACATATGGGACATCAATGATTTTGGCCTTTCTGGCTTTCCTCCAGGCCCTCTGAGAGGCCTCTTGGGCCGTCTTGGGCCATCTTAGTGCCATCTTCGGCCGTCTTGGTGGGCCCCTGGCCCGTCCAACGCCGTCGGAAGCCGTTTGAGGGACCTCTCTGAGCCGACTTGGGGCCCTCGTGGAATGCTCCAGGGCCGTCTTGGAGGCCATCTTGGGAGTCTTAAAAGCCTCCTGTGCCGTCTTGGGGGCCTCTTGGGGCCGTCTTGGGGCCTTCTTGGGCCGTTCTGGGGCCATATTGGAGGTCTCTTGGGCGATCTTTGGGGGCTCTTGAGCCGTCTCGGGCCGTCGGACGGCCGAAAAGAAGCAAATGTCAGAAAGAGCGTGTTCTATCGCTGCTGGCGGAAAACCGGGGGGGGGTCACTACCGGTTCGAACCCCTCCCCTCCCACCCCCCCACTCCGGAAAACCGGGGGGGGTCACTACCGGTTCGAACCCCTCCCCCCCCCCCTCCCCCCGTTCATCATGAAAAGGGGGGGGGTCACTACCGGTTCGAACCCCCCGCCCCCCCCCCTCCCCCTCGAAAACCAGGGGGGGGGTCACTACCAGTTCGAACCCCCCCCTCCCCCCACCTCGAAAACCGAGGGGGGGGTGCGGACAGTGGTGGGGACGGTGGTGATGGGGACAGTGGTGAGGGGACAGCGGGACAGTGGTGGGGACAGTGGGACAGTGGTGGGGACGGTAGTGGTGGGGACAGTGGTGAGGACAATGGTGGGAACAGTAGGGACAGTGGACAGTGGTGGGGACGGTGGTGGTGGGGACAGCGGTGTGGGGACAGCGGGAATGAGGTGGAAACAGTGGGACAGTGTAGGGTACAGTGGTGGGGACAGTGGTGAAGGCGGTGGCGAGGACGGCGGTGGGACAATGGGACAGAGGTACAGTGGGGACAGTGGTGCGGACAATGGTGACAGTGGTGGGAACAGTGGGACAGCTTAGTGGGACAGCGGAGGAGTCAGTGGGACAGTGGGGACAGTGGGGATAGTCGGGCAGTGGTTGGGGCCGTGGAGAAAGTGGGGAGAGTGGAACCCTGGTGGGAACAGTGGTGGGGACAGTGGGGACAGTGCGACAGTGGTGGGGGGCACTGGTGGGGAGAGTAGGGACGGTGGTGGAGCCAGTGGGGACAGTGGTGGTGAGGACAGTGGTGCTGGGAACAACAGTGGGGGATGTGGTGCGGACGGTGGTAGGGACCGGGAGTCGTTTGCTGGCGGTGAGTGGGGGGGTGGGGAGGGGTTCGAACCGGTAGTGACCCCCCCTCCGGTTTTCGAGAGGGGGGGGGGGTTCGAACCGGTAGTGACCCCTCCCGGTTTTCGAGGGGGAGGGGGGGGGGGTAGGGGAGGGGGGGGTTTTGCCGTGGGAGGGGGGGGGGGGAGGGGTTCCAGCAGGGGGGGGGGGATTTTCGGAGGGGGGGGGACCCCCTGGTTCCGGAGGAAAAGTGCGGCAATTTTCCATAGTAAAGCGGCGGTGGATCACGCTCTCTCAAATGCCAAAATCCTGCAATATCCTATAGAAAATCAATCTTTTTGGTCCTTTTCTTGCCTTCCTGGTGGGCTCCTGACCCGTCTGACGCCGTCGGGAGCCGTCTTTGGGGCCTCTCTGAACCTACTTGGGGTCCTCTTGGGGCGCTTCGGGGCCGTCTTGGAGGCAATCTTGGGCGTCTTGGAGGTCTCTTGGGCCGTCTTGGTGCCCTCTTGGGGCCGTCTTGGAGGCCTCTTGGGCCGTCATGGGGCCCTCTTGGAGGCCTCGTGGGCGATCTTGGGGCGATCTTGGCGGCCTTTTGGGCCATCTTGAGCCGTCGGAATGCCGAAAAGAGGCAAATGCCAACATCCTTCAAAAACCTTATGACAATCAGTGATTTTGGACTCTTCGGGTCCTCCTGGAGGACCTCTTGGAGGCCTCTTTGGGTCGTGTTGGGCCGTCTTGGAGGCTTCTTGGGCGAACTTGGAGGTATCTTGGACTCTCTTGGGCCGTCTTGGAGGCCGTCTTGGACCATCTTGGGCGAACTTGGAGCTGGACCATCTTGGAGGCCATCTTGGGCCAACGTGGCCATCTTGGAGGCTATCTTGAGCCGTCTTGGCGGATTTTTTGTGGACGCTGAGGTGGTTTACGCGGCCTTCTGGGACCCCGGCGGGACGGGCCGAAGCGCAAGGGGGAGTCCTTTTGAAACAAAATAACCAAAACCAAACCGTAAGAAGTCCAGCACGCCAGGCACCCCTGCGATGAATCGACAGGGGGCGGCGGATCGAAGACGCCTTCGGCGAATCACCGCCGCCCCCTGCCTTTTTGGAAGCGCCTAGGTGGCCGAACGTTGAGGCCAGACCTGCCAAGCTATCGGACCATGTGTTCCCCGAATCGGTTTGGAAAGCCTTCGGGGAACACGTGGGCATCTTGAAGGTCATTTTGGCCGCCTGGAGGCCATTTTGACCCTTTCGAGCCTTCTCGGAGGACGTCTTGGAGGCCATCTTGAGCGTCCTGGAGGCCTCTTGAGCCGTCTTGGGTGTCTCTCGGGGCCGTGTCTTGGGCCTCTTGGGCGATCTTTGGGGGCACTTGGGCCATCTCGGGCCGTCGGAAGGCCGAACAAGAGCAACTGCCACAATCCTTCGCATGGGAAATCAATGATTCCTGGCCTTTTCGGGCCTTCCTGGAGGCCCTCTCGGAGGCCTCTTGGGCCGTCTTGGGCCACCTTAAGGGCAATGTTCGGCCGTCTTGGTGGGCTCCTGGTCCGCCTGACGCCGTCGGAAGCCGTTTGGGGGGCCTCTATGGGCCGACTTGGGGCCCTCTTGGAATGCTCCAGGGCCGTCTTGGAGGCCCATCTTGGGCGTCTTGAAGGCCTCCTGTGCCGTCTTGGGGGCGGCTTGGGGCCGTCTTTGGGCCTTCTTGGGCCGTTCTGGGGCCATCT